CTTCTCTCTTTCTTTCTTCTCTCTCTCTCTCTCTCTCTCTCTCTCTCTCTCTCTCTCTCTCTCTCTCTTTCTCTCTTTCCACAAGTCATGAAAAATATGTTGTTCTCGATTGACGGTTATTTTATTAAAGGTGAATTACGTATTTGGCTCACTTTATAACCGCAGAGCCGTCGTGACGTATCCCTTATTGAAATTGATATGCAGCGCTGTAAATTCCGACGACGATATTCCTGATCCTCGTTGAAAGTGCCTCGATATCTACAAACCCGTCGCATTTTCTTGTCCATCAAAAATAACGCAATAAAAGATAACCCGGTTTCGACAGAGTTTTTCCAATTCGAACTTTCCCCCGGTGAATATTTCGGGCGTGAAGATGAAGGCGGAGGTGGAAATAAAATTGATTCTCGCTACAAGTTCGCCGATCCGAACGGCATAATATAATCCGTATCTCAATTTTCATTTTGTGCGCCACCATTTTTTCGCGGGGTGTTTTTAGAAACATCGCGTTGTTAAAACGATCGACGTTTAATCCTCGTTAAACCTTTTACTTTTAGTAGCAAACCGCAAATCGCGGCCGTTTAGGCATGATACGCCGTATTTTTTGAATAACAATTCGAAGCTTTTTTTCGCGTTGACGAGAAAAAGAAGAGAGGGAAAAGAATCTTGAAATTTATATGATTTTGTTTCTACTCTCGCGAAAAATCGTTCCTCGGGTATATCGCTGAATATTTTCCTGTATTTACGTTTATTTTCCAGCAATCTACTCAACAAAAGGATTCAAACGCGAAGTTTTTGTCACGTTCACGTAATAATAAACGTTCCCGTCATTTTTCAGAAAGAAAAATTCTCTTTTCTTCCTCTTGTTTTCTTCCCTCTCATCGATTTTCTCGTTCGTATATATACAATAAACTGCGCTTAACGCGCATGGGATAACTCACGTGGCAAATCGCCCGAGCGTAAGCGGATGGCATTTCCAGAGTTGACGCGTTTCGCGTGGGATGTGCCGCGGGATCGTGTCGGGAAAGGACCGACATTTTCCGGCGGCATTCCTCGGCGAGGATATACCGTATATCGGAAACGAGGACGGGCGCGCGGCCTTAACGAGGCCACTATCCTGCGCCGGCACACATCGCCGGCAAGGTAAACAAGATTTTCGTGTGCGTCGCTCAGCGGAATTCTAACGGCGGTCCGGAGGGTTGGACCGACGGGCTACTCGCCACGCCGGCTATTCGCTTTAATTCGGGGCCGCGCGTAAATGAATTGCTTTAGCGTCGGTAATCGTCTTTGGAAATCCAGCTTCCAACGTAGACGCGTCGGCCAGCCGCAATTGAATGTCGAATCGCCCGCTGACCAAATGCGATGTTCGGCGTGTGTGCAAATTGCCCGCCCGCCCGCGCGCACGTGGACGAGGTCGAACACGAGGACGAGAATGAGACCGAGGACCGCCGTTCTCCGTCGAACGTTCCTGATTGTACCGATCTTCGTTCCCGATAAAATTACCCGGCACAATCGCGCCAAATGTTACGACTTAATGGGGGCATCCCGCAGCTCGCGCGGTCTTAATTGTAACGACAGGTTCTATGGCCAATCTGGAGTTTTGTTTCCTAAGCGAGGAAAGCGTGGAGATTATCAATTGCGATCGTTCAATTTTGCCATCGTTGCTCATCGTTGTAATTTAAACTTAATTATGTTTTTATGTTACATAATTACGTTTTATTATTGCAATTAAACGTTGCAATTATGATTCTGTTAAAGTTCGCTCGCAAATTAAACGAGGAAAATTTTATTATTTATTTATTTTGCCTGATATCTAATTTTCAAAGTTCTGCTATATTGATTCGCATAAATTCAGAAACTGTTGTTATGAAACCCCCATTTTCCACGAGAGAAGGAGAATAAAACGCATTTAAAAACATTAATACTTTTTTCGTTTGTACACTTATAAAGTATAAAAAGTCAGTATACAGAGGATTCTAATGGTTATAATGCTTATAAATATTATAATGCTTATAAATATTATCTTATGTCCTAGGTAGCGGAAGATCCTCAGGCTCTGTTAAAGTGTCTGAGAGATGTGTCCTTGAGCGAATTGGTGTCGGTACCTGTTAAAGGACTCGAATTCGCGCCAGCCTTTGGTCCTAGTATAGACGGCGTCGTAATCGATCCTGGCGATCCCGAGGATCAGGACTACACCCTACAAGTAGACACGATCAATACGCTCAACAACATCCTCCTGAGGAAGGACGTCGTGGCGAAACTGTCGAGGTATTGTCTAGCTCATCTTTTTGTTTCAATCGTTATAACTAGCGAAATCGAGCTTCGGGGCAAGAGAAAATAAATAGTGCGAGAAACAATATCGGAATTCTACTGGAACATCACGAAGAAAGATAAAATCTTATCCTACAACATCGAGAATAACTCTTTTATTCCTCGTTGGAAAATACGAAAAGTTCACGTAAACAAGACTGTAAATGTTGAAAAATTTCAGTATTCAGGGCGACGATGAAATATCCTTAGTATTTCAAAATCGTACAAATTGAAATATATAAATAGTCGAAACTATTTATTAGATTTTTTAAATAATTTTTTTAAATCTTCTATTGTTCTGACGAGTATCTCGCAACGCGTATGACGTCCATGAAATTCCATAAAATGCGATCCTTAACAATTGCAGGAAATTAAGAAATCCATAATTAAAATAAACTTGTATCTTAAAAAATTTTATATACTTTAAAACAGAAGCCCGAAAATAATTTGCGGGTCGCAGATTTGTCAATATTTCATAAAACTTTTTTTTCCCTTTAATTTTTTTTTTATTTTTAGATAGTGTGAAGGAAAATTCCTGAATTTGTAGGTATGACTTGATGGTGGGGGTTGTTCGCTCAGAGGCGTATTTTTCGTTAACCGCCGACGATGCTCAGTATGGGATCGAGGCCGACAGAAGAACAAAAATTCTGCGGGAATTCGTGCGAAACACATACACGTATCACCAACCAGAAATCCTAGCAACTATAATAAATGAGTATACGGACTGGGAGCGACCTGTGCAACATCCCGTCAATATTAGGTAAATTCTAAAAAAATTTAATTAAAAACAGGTTTCATAATATTATTTATTTATTTCAATCGTCACTTCAATCGTCATTTATTAAAATTAATTGTTAATTATTATTTATTATGTTGATGACAAATAAAACAATCGCGATATTACTCGTGTATTAATTTTTTATGAATAATTATTTATATTATTGTTTATCGGAAAAATAAATTACTGATAAATATTTATCAAAAAAGATATTTATATTTTCAAATTTATATTTAGCTAAAGGGAGGATGGGGGATGTTTGTGAAAACCACAATAAGGGTATATACATCTTTTTCAGGGACGAGACTCTGGAAGCCCTGGGGGACGCGAATACAGTCGCTCCGGCGACAAGAACAGCGGATCTTCACAGCCAATCCCATAGGAATTCCTATCTATATGTCTTCGACTATCAAACGAAATTCGGAGACTATCCTCAGGTTTGTTATCAAAATATACTTTTTATTGAGCAAACTAAAATGAAAAAGAATTGAAAGAATCTAGACGCTGCAGAGTTCGGAAAATAAAAGATATCTAGAAACATATCTGGATATTTCTTTTCCATGTTACAGTTTTATTATTATTATTATATTAATAACCACGATATTTTTAAACATTATTCGATTTATCTTTGAAATTATGGAATTTCATAATAAATCTTCTGTGATAAAAATACTTTAGCTTGAACATAGAAAAAAAACTCGATTATATATACCTATTCAAAAATTCTATTAATAAAAAGTAGCAGAGCAGTAATAAATTCGGTCTATTTATATGTATAATCTCATCCGTTTTTCATATTATTTATTTATTTAAGTCACTTATAACGTCTATATATGAGACAGAAGTTGGGATTCACCGGAAATGCGACAACATGGCGGCGACTCTTGCTCGTATCTGATTTCAGAAACTTACGATGGGCGTACGGCCCCTTTCCACCCCATCCCCTTTTCCTTTACCTATTCCTAGTTTCGAACTTTGAATGAATTTCGGTGGCGCGATTATTAATGCCACATATATTAGCAATATCCACCCTTCTCTCTTCCGGGTGTCTAACAAGAAACGGATGTGCAGTGGGAAATCCGAAAATTGCACCATGACGATGAAATCAGTTATTAGCACGCTGCGCGGAATACTATTTCAAGATATCTTAATATATCAAGAATGTCCTGTAAATGACGTTTTAATCATTAACATTTCATATTCACACGTGGATTACATGGAATAAATAAATCCATATGAATATTCATAAATATTCACGGAGATTTAATAAATGAGATTTAATAAAAGTTTAGAAAAAGTATCACATCCTCGAATAAAGAAATAATAATAATCGACTTTGAAAAAAGTTTCCTTCAACTTTTCGCGAGAGGTAAAAATTCGTTGAATAAATTATCACCTTCATATTTATCCGCCCGTAAATTCGAAAAACAACGGGGAAGAAGTGGAATTTTAAAGAAGCCCGAACGATGGGAAGAGAGGAAGGAGAAGGGGGAGAATTTGAAATTCCACATTCGCCTCGCACCTGCAGCTTCCGTGCACTTTTTCCTTCTCACCCCACGCCGTCATTTCTGCCGGCACCTTTATGCCTTACACCCGGTGCACTTTGCATACGAATATCGTCTGGCACCTCGACCTGGCGATCACCGTTGCCGTCACCGACGAAATGAAAGTGCATTAAACGTTCAACGCGCCCCCTCCTCCGTTCCCGCCCTCCCGCCTCTCGCGCCACGAAGCCAACGAAGAATAAGGATCGCGCGTAAACGTTGCAACGAACTTATTGCGTCTGCACGACTGCATTCAGAAAAACGTTTCGGTTGCATTCGCAGAACGTTTGCCTTGCAGGATATATAACGCTAACTGGAATATTTCTTATTCCTGCGTAGTGCCGTGCAGCGAAATGTATAACTCGAGACATTGAGACATTCCTAACGTATTTAATATTTCACACAAGTTTATCTTCGATGTTTCGATTAACTATATAATTATTAATCAGTGGTTATAAAACAAGTTACTATATAGTTAGATTAATGTGTTACACATGTTAATTCACCGAAACAATCGTAATCAAAAGCATAATTATTTCCCGCTTAACGAATGATAATTTAATCATGACTTGATTAATGCTATTATTCATTAAGCATTCCAACAGTTTATTCTGTAATTGTTAACATCAACCGCTAATTCGGTTACTCGGTAATCATTATTCGGTCATATTTCATTCTTGGGTTTCAAAATTAAACCGAGAAAATCGTTTTAAAAAGCGAGTCTAGATAAAAATACTGTCTCGCGATTCCTGGCGAGTTTGTGGATAATTCGAATTTTTCGGGGAGAGACGAACTCTGTATTGAAGCTCGTTAAAATGGCAGGCAAACGCGAAGTTTCCGGAATAGGCCGAGCAATTTTACAATTTCAACGAGAAATAGCGAGTGCTTCTACGACCCTGGCAGATTCCATGAATGCTTCCCTATAATCGAGAGAGAGTTCTCCGTCCCCGGAAAAAAATTCTCTTAAATTCCGCGGTCAGTTCGATCCGCTCTCTGCCGATTCTTTTATCCCACACAATTGACCCATTAAAATCAGAGTTATTTCAAATCGACTGGAGTCTTTTACATCTTGTGTTAAAAATCAAAGAAAAACACAATAAAATAATTATCATATCGTATTATGCAAAAAAAATAGAAATGGAAATAACAGAGATAAATTTCTATTTTTACTTTAACTTTTACTGTTATTTTTATATTTGATATAAAATTATATATTTTATGTTTTAAATTTTTATTATATATCGTATTATATATCGTATTTTTTAGAGACCGGGATGCATTCATGGGGAGGAGTTGCCATATTTTTTCGGAGCGCCCTTGGTTGGAGGCTTATCCCATTGGCCAAAGAACTATACGAGAGCTGAGACAGCACTCTCCGAAAGCGTGATACTTTATCTGACAAACTTTGCACGCACCGGGTAAGTTGTCTCAGAAAAGGCACACTTAAAGTTTATTATACATTTATTATTAATAATCGTTCTTCATTATCAGAAATCCAAATGAGGGCACTCCTGATCCCGGACCCCTCGGTTCCAGGCCGGAAAGGACCAAGTTTAAAAATATCGACTGGACCGCTTATGAAGCCGTCCACAAAAAATATCTTAGTATAGGTAAATCTCCATAATGCTTTCTTTTTATCCAGTAACATTTTATCCAAAAACATTTGTATAGCACTGAAGAAATTTATTTATTTTTGAAATTAAATTAAACTTTTTATTCATTTTTCTTCTTTTTATATGTATGAAAAGAATAATAGAAGAGTAAAAGTAAAAAAATGTATGTTTATGTTTCTTTTTATAATAAAAATATTTTAATATATATATAAATTAAAAGGCAAATTTTGTTGGTTCCACAGAACTTAAATCGAAACTGAAGAATCACTATAGAGCTCATCGTCTTTCTTTTTGGCTGAATCTGGTGCCCGATCTTCATAAGCCTGGCTCGGATGATGTTCCTAGATCGCATCATCTTCTTGACGCCGAACAGGTATTAAAGATCGTTATAAGATAATTGTTGATTAATTATATAATAATGAAATATTAAAATAATTTAAACCAATTACGTTGGAAGAATTTAAACCAATTACTTAGAAAGAATTTTATTCTCCAGGTGCCACCCAGATTTATTCAAAGGCTACCAACTACCGCGAGAACGACCACTTTGGAAGTAACTTCTATCGAGAAAACCTTGTCCAACATGTCAACAGCCATACCCAGTGATAGTACCTTCGAGGATCCTACGGCGCAGCCTGAGGATGGTTTCGCGGCGTATTCCACCGCCTTGAGTGTGACAATCGCGATCGGTTGCAGCTTGCTGATCCTAAATGTCCTCATTTTCGCCGGAGTGTATTATCAGCGCGACAAGAGTAATCATCAGCACCAGGGCTGCTCGAAGAAGCGTCAGGAGAACGGCCAGATGCCGAACAACATTTGCGGCGAACTGGAGACCAAGACCGCCGAGCGACATCACATTCAGCACATACCGCCGCCGGAGTTCGCCGATCTCCAGAACAATACCTGTCACGTGCCTATGCCGCCCCCGCCACCAAAGAACACGAAGCCTGGCAAGCCTGGCCAAAACCTTATCATTAGTCCGAACCAGCTCCAACAAGAAAGCTTGGCCATGAGCGGCACCGGGACCTTGAAAAAGGGACACAATCATCCTCAGGTCATGGAGGAGCTGAGGGTCTGACTTTAGGAGACCACGCGGCCATCGAACTAACACAGCCGCGAGAATATTGGAATTCTTAAATAAAAGTCAGACGAACGTCAGGGAATCACTTTGAAATGGAGTTCTCCATTATCAGCCTGACTATGGATCAATCAGGACGGTGAAAAAGGAACACAATCATTACCAGATCATAAAAAAGCTGACAGTCGGACTTTAGCGGATATCGAAACTTTTAAATTAAATTCCTAAAATCGTCGAGTGTCAAGAAACCTCTCTCAAGATGATATCCCTCATCATCGGTTTGGCTACGACGCCAAATTCCTGAAGACGTAAAGAAGTTTAAAAGAGACGAAATCTAAAGTTAAACAGAAAAATGTTTTCCAGTGATACTCGACGGTAAAGGAGGGACAATTCTTCAAAGTTTTTCCAAATCGATCGTGATATTGTCGATAGATAGGAAGTGATAAAGGATGAAAAGTGAATGAAGGACTTTCATTGTTACGTGAGAAGTATGTATTAGTGCAGGGGTATAATTGGGATTTTAAGTCCAGAAACCAAGGTTTTCTGCAGGTCTTTATATAAAGCCGAAAAAGGAAAACGGAGTCCGATTGTTCGAGCAAAGCAGTATTGCTTCTGTTCGCCATGCCCTTGTGTTAGTAGCAACACCATACTGTTATCGTTTTCTACCTTTCGAATTTGCGACCAACTGCCGAAAATCATAGTCTTCGATGGATAGACAAATCTATCGTTAAGTAGAATTCCTCATCTCCAAAAAAACTTGATTATATTATTTTATTTTATTCTGATATTTTACACTTTACGTGTAACTATAATTCTTTATTCATTTTATATCATTTATTTTATTTGACTTAGGGATTCTAATTTTATTATTAAAAATTGATATCTTCGATTTTTAATATTCTCAATTTGTATTATATTTAAGAAAATTTATAAATTAGTTCTTTATATAAAACTAATAATAAACTAAAACTAATAATTTTTAATTGTTTATTTTGTCTTTATTTATCTGCTTTCTCTCTCTCTCTCTTCTCTCTCTCTCTCTCTCTCTCTCTCTCTCTCTCTCCATCTCCGCCGACGCGAGTGAGGTCCCGTTGTGACTCACCGGTGACCGGCGCTCGCGCACGACGTCGCGCCGGAACGAGCAACGGAGGAAAAGAGGTTGCACCGCTGCTGCCGTTGCTGCCGCTGCGCGGGCTTCAACAATAACGATTATTTACGCCGACGGTGTATCGACGTTGACGTTTAACGTTCCTCTCCCACCGCGAGGCGAACGGTCCGATCGGTTCCCGCTCGGGCGGCTCGGGATACAGCGGTAGTGGAGAAATTATGGTCCCTCTCGGTGTAATTAATTCTAGGTGACGAAGTGAACCTGCCCCGATCGCTACCTCTGTCGTGCGTAGAAACATTGTGAGGAGCTTGGCGATGATAAAAATCTTCTTCGGCATGAAGAATGAAAAGAGTCGGAGTGAAAAATAAAGGCGAGAAAAGTAATTGATGTTCTTATCTGACAGTCAATTTCTGGCGTATAAAAGATTTTCAATATTACATATCGCTCGACATATGTGTGTATCTGAACCGAATAACATATCAACGTGTTTGTTTATGCGGGATGCCTTGCGAAATTACGAGACGAACTTAAATTATGTTTATTTTATTATTTGGAAAGTATTCTTAATGATATTGTATGAGGTCAACTTTGTCCTAGTCTTCTTCACTCTAGTCCTTTCGCCGATCGCCCACGCAGATATTCAAACGTTCAAGAAGTACGTATGGCAAAAAGTCACGCGCTACTTTCTTGCGATAGCGATTATTCGACTCTCGGGATCATAATGTTGCTGTGCCACTTATAAATGTACTGACAATTCTTGAGAAATCTCACAAATACGCAAATTATATGGTTGCTCCATTGATAATACCAATTAACTTCGTTTTTTTGCTCGTTGGCGAGAAATAAACACCAACAGGAGCCAATCATTCTCATCAAAATCGTGTATACAAAAATAGCGAAAAAAAATTTGCATTACAAATTTACGTTAGACGATAAAGCATTAGAATACGCGAGTAGTCACGTTCAGTCAAGACTAAGGTGATTATGGTAAGAATTCATTAACGCCCACGCATAACAAGAATTATTTTTGGAATAGAGATGCCTTTCGCTGAAAAACTCAAGAGTGATCTACGAGAAATGGCGTCGGTGAATCTGCAACGGATGGTGCGGACAGATTCGGACCGCGAGACAATCTATACGCTGCGCTATCCGCAGTTTTGATCTAGCCTCGTCATCGGGGAATGTGGGAGTGTCGACAAAGGATCATCTCCGCATCTCGAGCGAGAGAAAAGATCGGTGACAGTCGGTCGGAGAGGTGTCACGAATAGGCGTGGAGGTTCATCATGCGCTTCAATGTCGCCCTATCCTACGCCTCTCCTTGCCCGTTTGGCATAATGACAACGTAGCATGATAATCAATTTGTCGGGCACACTTGTAGATTGGTTATAATTACAATTACAACTATATTACGCGGCGTGATTATAGCTGTGATTACAAAGAGCGAACTTGTGCACATTTGTATTTTGTTGTCTAGATATGAGATTAGGATGACCGATCCTTTAACTAACTCTTAATGCAATTATTAAATATTTATCTTGTGCTCTCTTTCTTCAAAATAAATATTAAGTGATACAAATATTAGTTTGCCATACCGGCTGACCTTCCTAAAGGGTGTTTGTGAAGGTATGTATGTCCATATGCTGAAAAAAGGAAAAAAACCTCGAAGCAAATGAAAGTTTAGAAAGAAAGACATTGGATCTTCCTAGAAAAAAAAGAAAAAAACACAAGCATCTCTCATGTATGACTCAGAGATATTTGGGTTTCCAGTCGAGAGCTTCGGAACGATCGTTCCCGTTTCCAGTCGTTCCGGCTTCAACTACGATTTTGTGGCTGCTCATTGGCCCCCGCGGAGGTACCGGGCCAACCGCGTCCCATTATCCCATGCTAATTCACCGGCTACGGCTGTCATTGCCTCGAGGCGAGGACTGACAAGTAACACCTCTTGGCTCGTGTTCTCCAGGACCGTAGGAGTGTCTCCTATCTCGCTTTCCCCCGTACTCGCCGTTCTTCCTCTCGTCACACGTCATTGGTCGTCCTGTTGGGGGCTTCTCTCTACATTTTCTCTCCTCTCCGTTCCCCCCCCCCTCCCCCCTCCCCCTCGGTCCCTACCCGGTGTG